GATTTAATTTTTTTTAAAAAAATTACGAGTATAATGGTCATTTCACCTTTCAATTTCCCAGCTCTAACCCTAAGAAAAACACTTTAGAGGATTGATCTCAACTATTACAATATCTATTTTAACAAAATTATTCTAGGCAAACTATATTTGGATAGTTTTACAAAGCTCTTTAAAAAATTTATGTAGATAAATAAATAAAATAAAGAATAATGTTTGAACACAGATAAATAATGATTAAGTAAGATAAAGAGTTTGCCCTTTTTATACTTCAAAAAATAGGAGTAGCTTACACTATATTCGGGAATTTAAGAAAAAAGAAAAGAAAAGGTTACTTAAGTATAAGGGAAAAGAAATGAAATAAAATGATTGTGATTTTTCTTCTTCTTTTTTGGATAAGTAAGAAATAAAAGAAAAGAAATAATTGTGATTTCTCTCATTGTTTGGTTAGATTTTATAAGAAAAAAGAAAAGAAATTATTTTATGTTATATTACCAAAATAACCTTTTATATTTTCAATCATCTTATTTATTTTATTTTTACAGGGGCAAAATTGGTATTATGAAAATATAATAATCATTTGGTTTCTTTTATCTCCCAATCTCTCCACTTTTAGAAAGATTGAAAATGAGAGTTATAAGAGAAATGAGCTTCTCGCCGTTTCTCTCTATTACTCCCGATTTCTTTTTACTTAAGTTATTTAAACAAGTAAGAGAAATACATATTGTCACGACCTACTCCCCGTACCTAAGGGTTAAGTATCGTGATAGCCAGTAACTGAAGTTATCTTCGGCCAATTCTTAAACAAATTACTAAACGCGAGCGGAAAGATAATTTAAGTGAGGGTACCAAAATAATCGTTGGAGCTTCTATTTTTATAACAAAATTTATTGACAAAAAAGACCGATATTTACACATGAAGAATAGAATTATAAATACTATAAAAATGTTGTGTGTGTCTATTCCGCAGTCCCATATCTAAGACTCTCCAAAAGTTATTTCTAAATTGCATTGTTTCCTGAAAATTGGTAAACAACTATAAACACATGGCAGAGTGAGAAATATTATATTAAGAGCATAAGGGCATAAAATTCACCAAGGATAATTATTGGCCAAACAAAGCTTGATATTAAAATACAGAGTATATAATACAGAGATTATTTGACATATAATACAGAAATCATATAAACAAAATAATCATAACCACAGTACAAAATGGAACAGAACAGATGTATGGACTCAAGAGGTGGCTCGTATGAATTCTAGAGGTGACTCCCATCATAGCGTAGCACTTAGCTCCGTACAACATTTTGCTCCGCACTAGAAATCATAACCACGGTACAGAACAGATGTATGGACTTAAGGGGTGGCTCGTATGAACTCTAGAGGTGGCGCCCACAATAGTGTGGCACTTAGCTCGGTACAGCACTTTGCTCCATACCAGAAATCAGAGTGTTAGTGGATCCATGACAGACAGAGGGTCACAAAGTGACTAATTAGAGGGCCAATGGTTATTTAAGGCCCCAAAGACATGGGACCCCGTGGTAATACTTATAAAATAATTGCTCAAAACACATTTCAATAAATAATTATATCCGTGAGTTTTCCCTATTATATAAAATAAGGCTCATAAATTGAAAATGCTAATTAACTTGTTTGGTTTCAGTTTTCAGAAAATAGTTTTTAGAAAATTTAACTTTTTTATTTTTCGTATTTTAATGTTTTCAATGAATTTTTTAAATATTTTAAGCATTTTTTAAAAAAATTGTTGGGACAAACCTAATATAAATACACTTAAAAAGTATAATATTTGTGAAAAAAAACCTTTAAAAAATACACTAAATACCAAAAAATACAAAAAAACAAAAAAAACAAAAATTTAGTACATTTTCATATTTTTGTGTATTTATTAATTTTTTAAAATATTTTTTCACAAATGTTTTACTATTTAGATACATCTAAATAAGGTACATCTAAAAAAGTAAAAAAATTACTTAAAATTTTAAAAATATTCACTAAAAATAAAAAAATAAAAAAATCAGTTTTCAGAAAACTGAAACCAAACGCACTGATTATAATTTATAAAACACAAATTACGTAAAATAAATCATGGTAACTCAAAACATACGTAAAACATATAATGGTAACTCAAAGTATAATATAACTCACCTTAATATTAATTTTAATTTTTACCTTTCGTTCACTATGATCCACTAGATACTCCAAACTACACTCAAAGTTTTATTTATATAAACCAAACAACTAAGGGAGAGAGAGAGAGAGACTAAGAGAGTTTGGGAATAAAAATGATGAGGCTCATACGTAGGGGTGCAAAAATGGCTCGCGGCCCGTGGACGGCTCGAAGTCCGCCTGCGGCTCGAGATGGGCCCGGTCCGTTTAGGCCTGCTTGGGCCCAAGCCCAAGCCTAGCCCGAGTCCCTAGGTTAGGGCTTGGGCCATCGTTTTGAAGCCCGGTCTGGTCCATGGGCCCAGCCCGCTTAGCCCGACCTATCAGCTTGGCCCGCTTAAGGCCCACTTAAGGCCCACTTAGAGCCCGGCTCAAAACTCGGCCCGCGCCGAGGCCCAGTGTATTTTTTAGTAAAAAGCAATAAACTTTTGGTAAAAAAAAAATTTCAAAATTAAAAAAAAATGACTAGGCCCGCCTAAGCTTGCCCCAAGCCCGAGGCTAGGCCCAGGCCCACTGACCCGCCCAAGACCCGAATACCCTTGGGCCTAGGCTAGGGCCTGGGCTTAGTTTCTTGGGTCGTGGCCGACCCAGCTAACCCAAATTTTTGACGGGAGCCCGCGAGGCTCGACATGGGCCAGGCTGGGCTAGATTTATACCCTTACTCACACGGATCAACAGATCTAGATGGGTCCTTCTATTTGCACACCACGCATTTTCTCACTATCCACCACTTTTCAATTTTTTTTAATTGCCATTTTGTCTCTCAACAAAATTACCAAAGAGGACTTGAATACAATAGTCAACAACATCTACCAATTCATAACTCCTCTTCGTTACCTCTTCTACCTACCTTTTTCATTTCCCTTCGCAACCCCCAACTGTTGTAGGGTGAGTAAAAGGGAGAGAGAGAGAGAGAGAGAAATCACAGGGCAACGCTACTGCAGCCTGATGACAACGACCCATCCTTACCCATTTACAGTGCTACCGCCGACGAGGTTGTGATTGAAAGAGACAAAGATCGCAGATTGTGATCACGATTGTAAGAGAGAAGCAAAGGTAATAACTGACAAGGATAATGGTTGCGGTAATGGTGACAGCGACAGTGGCTAAGGTTTGTGGTTGGGGAAGATGAGGGTTTTGTATTAATTGATAGGCAAGGGAGGGGTGGTGAAGGCCTCCGAAGAATAAGAAAAAGAATGGGGAAGATAATTAGGAAACTGGAGAGGGGGACGACGATGGAAGGGATGGTAGCCGCCGGTGGTGGACGATCGAAGGAGGAAAGAGTTGGGTAAAGGGGTGGACGACAGTTGCAGTGGAGGTAGTTAGGATTAGGATTTGCTAGAGAAGATAAGAATAATTTGGTATTATTTGAAAATTAGTGGGGTGTGTTGAGACAAAATCAAAATATTCATGCTGTGTGATGTGTGAACTAAGCAAATGGTATATATATATATATATATATATATCTTCTGTGGGTGTGAGGGAATTTAGATAGACATTTTTTTGTTGTCTCTTTAAAGTTTAGAGACCACAGAAGATATATATAATGCAGCGTGAAAACAATAGAGCATCTAAACATGATCGAAATGCAATGGAGAAAAAAAGAAGAATAGAAACGAAAAATCTCTATTCCAAGCTTGCTTCTCTCATCCCTAGTGAACCCTCAAACTCAAAGGTACAACACCACCAACTCTCTCTCTCTCTCTCTCTCTCTCTCCAAGAACTCTACTTCTTCCAGCTCTAAAACACACAAAATTATTTCTTGAACTCTACTTCTTCCAGCTCTAAAACACACAAAATTATTCCAGAAAGAAATAAGGATTGGCCGGGTACATGGTTTTAAGTAGTGCTTGGGTATCTAGCTTGAATTTGTGGTTTGATTTTGGTGGGTTGATTTTGTGGAAAATCATGTATTTTATATTCTGTTAAGTTCTTCTTAACCTTTTTTGTTTAAAAAAAAAAAATCGTGTGGCCGAGGGGTTGGTTGTATGGTTGCGAGTAGCAGTAGTAGGGGTATTTTATACTTTCCGAAACTCTCTCAGTACATTTCATCTTCCTATACCTTTAATTTTATATTTTTAATAAAATTTTTCTTTGCTGATAAAAAAAAAAAAAGAAAAAAAAGTAGTGCTTGGGTATCAAGAGTATCAAGCAGTGTGTGATCAGGTGTTGTAGTTGTGAGGGTTTTTTCTTTTTTTTTTTTTCTTTTCAATCATAATAATAATAAATAAAAAAAAAAATGAACTCGTTTAATTGACTATGAATCAAATCAATACATATCAAAAACTGATGGATATACATCATGCTTTACTTTCATACAAAAATGTCAAAATGGTATGGAACAACATGCCAACCGATATTTAAAACTAAAGAAATATTATACATAATCTCATTTTGTTATTGTAATTTTTCATTTTTACATATAAGACAATATCACCCACCACATTAATAAATCCACGCAAGACTCTCACTCATTTGTGTTTAAAACCAAAAAATAAATTAAAATTATGTCACATTTTTCTTAAAACTATAGTGAACCTATATGTATGAACCTCACCTCTTGAATCTTTCTTTTCACATTATGTGTTTCATTTATGCAATCAGTATGAATACGTAATATCTTCACAGCATGTGCAACAAAAGGTGAGTCCTGCACACGTTGAAACCACTCCATATCTCAAATCTGTGTCTTATTCTGTGAAAATTATATGTGCATTAAGATTTACACTTCTGTAAAAGTAGCACAACTCCTCTCTCTCTCTCTCTCTCACTCTCTCAATGAGTGAATGTTTTAGGTAAGACCACCGAAATCTGATATGTTGGACCAAGCCACTAATTACATAGTGCTACTGAGAAAAAATGTGGAGGAACTGAAGCAAAGGAAGGAGTTGATGATCAAAGGTCGTGATGAGAGCAGTCGTACTACTACTAAAGATGATAAGAGAGACAGCTCGGTGTTACCAGTTTTCACAATCAGAGACATGGGTTCGATTTTAGAGGTGAATTTGATAACTGGGTTGAATACTACTAATAATAACAACTTCATGTTAGGAAAAGTTTTCAGTGTTCTTGAGGAAGAAGGTGCTGAAGTTGTCAAAGCTAGCTGCTCTACAGTTGGAGATAAGATCTTCTGTACTATTCATTCCAAGGTATATATATATATATATCATTACCCTTGCCTGATTGGGGAATTTGTGAAAGAATTTAAATAAAAAAAAATTAAAATATAAATAAAATATATCTATATTTTAATTAATTATATATATATTTTTTCTTTTCAAATTCCTTCTTAAATTTCGCATTCAAACCCAACATTAATGTGTTATGATGCATGAATTTTCTAGGGTGAATTTTGATGCTTCATCATATTTAGAAGTGTCCCGTACATGGAGGGCCGACTTTGGGCATAAGTGGCGGAAGCAGCCGTCTTGGACCTTAAAAAATTGACTAAAAAAAGTTTTCAAAATTTTGTTAAAGATACGTTAAAGATATCAAATTTTTTGTTAAATAAATAATTAAATATTTTATATGGGTTATTCATGTGAGATATTTGATAATTTATTTAATAAAAAATTTGGGACATGTAACATTTTTCATTTGTTAATTATTATTTTAGTCTATAAAAAAAATCTCACTAGAATTTAAAAGGTCTCAACAAAATCTAGTTATGATTTAAAATTAATTTAAAACTAATAGATGGTTGATATGGTAAATTATTTAAAATTAGTAGATAGTTATTTTTTGTCGGAAGAAACTAAAAAACTTATTAATGTGGTGAATTGTTTAAAATTATTAAAGGGTTATTTTTTGAATATTTGGATTATGTGCAGAATACTAGTGCCTACACTACTTATAGTTAGTCTTTTCAAATTAAAGTAGATTTAATTTTACTTTTGCTCAATTATGTCAAATGAAATATTAAATGGATTAGTAATTTTATTCATCGAAAATGATTTAGTTTATAAATTGGATTATGCGAACTAGATCAGTAATTTTATAGCTAAAAATGCAAGAAGAATTATGTTTAAGTAATTTTTGTTACAGTTTATTTACTTTTTAGTTGATACTTTTCAATTTAGATTATTTAGTCATTTTTTTTATTATAAACTTTAATGTATATTTAAGTAAATTCTAATAGATATATACTAGAAATAATTTTTTACGAGTGCTGTCAAATACCAAAAAAATAAAATAAAATAAGATAATTATTATATTTTAAATATATATATATATATATATATAAAAGGTCTCATGTTGAAAATTTACTTTGAGTCCCGAAAAAATCAGAACCAGCTTTGCATACAAAGCTTTCTATGTGCCATGATGCCATGCAGAGCAGTCCTTCAATCATGGAAATATTCAATTATCGAAGTTACCGACTCTTCATGAATTTCGTAGCTATACAAGTAAATATTTGTGAGGAATCAATGATTTTAGTATACCTTTTTATTTTTATTTTTTAGTGTGCGTATCTATCTCTATTTTTATATATAAAACTAATGTAACTAACAAATACAGCAATTAAAGACACCAGATAAGCATGTCACTTACCAGGAGATTTTAGGATTATCTTGGATATAATTTATAAGTTGACTTTTTTGTTTATTACGTATAGATGTGTAAAAAAGTAGAAATGTGATGTGATTCAATAAGTTAATATGTAACTTACATCATTTAGTTTATTTATTTTTCATTATTGATATATTTGTTGATACATTATTTTCTTTTTCTTTTTTCTTTTTATATTTTTATATTTTTTAACACAAGTTCATTAATCATTGCAGGCCTTTTATTCAAGAATTGGGATAGAGACTTCAAAATTGCATGAAAGATTGAACGTACTTTTTCAATGAATTACTTCCAACTGCGTTCAGGCGACTCTTGTACACGTCTATACTGGAGGTTAAGAGCAAGTTCTTAGCAAAGACAAGTATTAATTATTTTTTTGTCCTTATGAAAATTGTATTGAGTTATTTAATTATTTTGATTATGAGACGTGTCCAAGTGACACGCCTAGACGCACTAGTTGGGATGGGTTGATTTAGCAGTGACGCTTTTTGTAGGCATAATTTGTCCAAGATTTACTATAATAAATTAAAATTTTAAAGACAAAAAATTTGGGAATGAAATATTTTAATTGTCAAAAGTGTTATTATTATATTTCTAAAAGTGCCTATTAGCAACGTTTTCAAAATGTTGTCACTAAAGGTTTTTTTTTTGACTTTTCGAAACAACCCTTTAATGACAACAAAAATTGATCTCATAATATTTTTTGCAACAAAATTTTTATGTTGGCCAAAAAGAATGATCCCTAAAGCCCTTAATGTTTAAGATTGTTATCATATCCCAAACTTTGTGACCTTTTATTGATGTTGAGACTTCAAGACTTATTTAGTGTGCAGTGACCCAGTCTCTTGTTTGTTTGAGAGAATCATCCCAATTTTAGCATCTGTAATGTATGTCTAGCTACCAACTATGTTATGTTCCATCCTTGTGACAGTCAATTATGAGACATCATTTGCTTTTTAAGTTTTGTTCTCAAGACATTAAAAGGTGTGAGATAAAATTAACCTTGCTAAGTTGGCAATGAAAACAATCCCACAAAAATTTTCATTTTTTGTGACTAAATTTTTAGTCGGTAGAAGTCAAATTTTAGTTGTCGAAGGGATTTAGAGACTAAATTATTTGATCGCAGCATTAGTCGAGGAAGAATTGTCAGGAAAGCTAATTGGCAACTAAAAGTATTTTAAACACCAAATGTATTCAATTACCGACTAAATTTTTAGTTGCCAAAAGATTGGAAATAAAATTAAATAGCACATTTTCAGCGACCAATTTTTTTGTCGCTAAAAGCCTCAGTTATTGTTAACGAGTAAACATTTAGTCGCGGAAAAAGTTTTTAGCTACTAAATATATTAGTCGCCTAAATTAAATACTTGTGTTTTGGCTACTAAAATTTTAGTCGCCTAGAGTCAAATTTTTTTGGCTACTAAAGATTTAGTTGCCTAAAGTCCCACATTTTTTGCTACTAAAATTTTAGTCGGCAAATAGTTATTGTTTTGGCCACTAAACATTTAGTCGCCTAAACTCTCACATTTTTTACTACTAAATTTTTAGTCGGCTAAAGTGTATTTATTCTTCAGCTTTTGTTTTTAGCTACGAAATATTTTAATCGACAAATATTTGATTTTCTTTTGGCTACAAAACTTTTAGTCTTTAAATGTTTGCTTTTCTTTTGGCTACAAAATTTTTAGTTGCCAAATGTTTGATTTTCTTTTGGCAACAAAACTTTTAGTCGCCAAATGTTTGATTTTTTTTTTGCTACAAAACTTTTGGTCGCCCAAACTATTTTCCCAATTTCTTTTTAACTGCTAATTGTTTAGTCGCCAAAAACATGATATTATGTTTTATCACAAAATTATAATTTTTTCACAACCTGTCTATATTCCATGCAACCTATAATATGTGTATAAACAAAATGATACATATACTATCAATCATTTCACAATCTGCATCCGTATACAAAAAATAAATAACTTTAAATGTCAAAATCCATACAAACCAACTATTGTCCAAATTAAAATAATAATTCCATAAAAAATGTAGAATCATACAAAAATCAAAGCCCTCCGTATACAAAAAATACATTTACTACCATGTGAAATGACCATTTGGCATGGTAAAAATTACCATCGTAAATCTGTACCACGACAAAAAGTGATGTATGTACTACGACAAAAGTACATCTATAGACCATGATGAAAGGTCATATATGTACCACGACAAAAGGTCATATATAGGGGTGTGCGCGGTGCGGTTCGGGCAGTTTGAGAGTAAAATTACAAACCGAGTGGCGGATTGACAAATTGCGGTTTGGACGGCTTTTGACGGATTGGCAGATTGAAGAATATTCTAACCAATTATCATACATTTGCATAATATATAACACTAATTTGTATAATATTTTTTAGATATATAACACAAAGTAATTTTACATAATATGTTTCATATATATTGTGGGGATATATTTTCAGAGTACCAACACGTGGCATGGTGACGCCGAGGTGCCACGTGTTATGGTAGTTACGCCGAGGTTATCTTGGCGAGGCCAAGGTGATCTCCGAAAATATCAGAATCCGAGATAAGCGGATAAGGGACAAGAGTCCTAGAGTAAAGAGAAGACTTAGCCAAGATAAGGATAAAACTCTTAGGGAGTTTATCTTTATCTCTTGAAGAGTCCAAAGTTAGTATTGAATTGGAGTCCATAGAAGTCGGGCTTCTAGTGGGACTTAGATTGAGTAAACTATAAAAGGGAGGCACCTCCATGGATCTAAGGTACGCAATTTTATACTTTGAATAATAAGTTTAGCACTTGATTATCTTTGAGAGATATACTGACTTGATCGTCGGAGTGCTCCCGGGTGGAAGAGCCACCGCCGGAGCCTTTTCTTTCTGTTACAGGTTTGCTAAAGCCATCTATTCTGCCGGTGCTCTCCAGCTGATTACTAAGCGGGCAGTGTGGTCAGAAAATTACCCACACAATTTGGCGTCGTCTGTGGGAAACTTAGAAGAATAGGTGGCCAGTAACGGACAGAGGGAAAACATTGGGGGCTACACTCCTACTGGGAGTGGCAGACCAATTGACCTTGACGTTGAAGGAGACAACCACAATACAGAAAATCATGACCAGGGCCACAGAGAGAGAGACGTCGGCCAAGAGGGCGACACTTCAAAAAGGACAGACCAAAGCAAATATTATAACGAAGATAACCTTCAGGTATGAAGGGATAGGTGCCTACGGAGGGATGAGGAAATAAAAGCCTTGGCAAATAAGTTGGTAGACCTACAGTCAGTGGTCAACTTCATGATGCAAAACAATGTCATGCAGTCACCATACCCGCTGCAGGATACGCCAATGCCAGCAACTAACACCCAGAAGGGAGAAAGAAGAACAATCCCCGAAGTCCCTTAGCACACCAGAAGCGAAAGGCACTCTCACCGACCTTCCGGGGAAAGCGAACGAGAGGAGCCGAGACGAGAGGAGTCCCGAAGAACGTATCACATGAAGGATCCAGAGCCCAAAGAACATCGGCATGTTTAAGGGCAGGCGCTTTGCTTTGACACAACACATGGAGAGAGATCAAAACGAGCCCACCACGAGGCCGAAAGTAGTGTGCCGAAGAGATTGAAATCCAGAGATAGCCGAGCTCCAGGAAGGAGTAAAGAAGACTTGAGAGATTACCTCAAGAGGAGGCAACAGAATGCTGAAGCCGAGGTAACTTCCCCGGTTAAGCCGAGGACACCATTCTCGGTGGAACTGGACAAATTTCAAGCACCAAAGCGATTCAGTATGCCAAGGTTCCAAATATATGATGGTAAGACAGATCCCAACTTCCACATCAGGCTATACCTGAATTCGATGGCATTATATAGTGGGAACGAACCGTTGCTCTGCAAAGTGTTCCCCTCGTCCTTTAGAGAAATTGCATCCGATTGGTTCCATAAACTACCGAAGGGAAGCATAAAGACGTGGGAAGGCCTGGCCAAGATGTTTGTGGCCAGGTTTGTGACGAACAAACTACAACCCTTGAGGGTCGACGCCCTGATGGCTTTAAGAATCACCAAGGAAGAAGGCCTTAGGGCCTACGCGAAAAGGTACTACGAGGTGTTCAATCGAATGCCCGAATGCAACCAAGAAGTGGCGGTCGTGTCTTTCAAGAACGGCCTGAAAGATGACTGCCCATTATGGAAGTCTTTGGCAAAAACATTGCCAAAAAGCATGGAAGAACTCATGGCGAGAATAGAGAAGTACGCCAGAGCCGAGGAGGATACGTCGGGAAATAAAGAAACAAAACAGGAG